GTCATAGGCGCTTGTTTACATGATGGTGTATTTTGTGTATTATGTGTTTTTCTATATGTGCCTGAATACTCTCATTAAAATAAAAATAACAATTCGCCGAAATTAGCACGTTTTAAAAAATGTCATATTTACTGTATATAAAAAGAGTAAAGGAGCGTCACTCGCCATTTTGAAAATCAGGGGGTGCCTTTGTTCACACTTGATTTTAAACAATATCTACATTTTTCCTACAGGTGTCGGACAAGATCAAGCTTAAAAAAATGGTTGAATGACAACTCCCTACCATCTGTTGACCTACATATGCCGTTTTAAACAAGCAGTGAACCGAAACGTCCTCGATTCTTGTCCCTGTATATCGAAAGCAACGGAAGTGGCGATTTCGTCTATGTAAAATGTAGAGGCGACCCTGAAATACATGGAAAATCTAGAGAGGTCGGAAATCGGGCCAAACTTGTTTTCTTTAGATTTTCCGTGTAATTCCGGGACACCTCTACATTTTTCATTGTTAGAAATCGACACTAACGTTGGTTTCGATGTCTGTATATTGTATAGAGGATGTTTTGTGTTTACTGCATGTTTTATACGACAAGTTCAAATCGGCAGACGTTTGAAAGGTGTTATTCAACCATTTTTCAAGCTAGATCTCTTCCGACACCGGTAGAAAAAAATGTAGATATTGTTTAAAATCAAGTGTGAACCGAGGCACCCCCTGATTTTCAAGATGGCGAGTGACGCTCCTTTACTCTTTTTATATTCAGTAAATATGACATTTTTTAAAACGTGCTAATTTCGGCGAATTTTTATTTTTATTTTAATGAAAGTATTCAGGCACATATAGAAAAACACATAATACACAAAATACGCCATCATGTAACCAAGCGCCTATGGTTTTAGTTTGATTTCAATATAACTGGACACACAAGTAGACTTCAATGTGATACATAATTAAGTGCATCGTTTTTGATTTCGATGAACGGTGTTGTCATCATGATTACAAAAAATAGAAATGTATGTGAAATTCCTTTAAAACGCTACTCCTTCTACAGTTTTGGTCTGATGGCAATGGCTAGTTTTCTGTTCCCTTGTTATAAGTACAAACAAGTAGAGCTATAGTCTCGACATTGTGTTGAACCCGATGAATTATTTTGCCTCGATTATAGTCAGAAAAAAACTCATGGCTGAACATATCCAGTCATTTGGACGAGTCAAGATTAGTGACAGTGAAACTGTAAATTCGCTACCATTTTTCTACTAGTGAAACGTTGCTGATATAATGCAGGGTGGGACATGACCTTGACTCGAGTTTAAAGTCCCCAAGGATAAGATGTTTTTGGTTGGATGCATGGACAGAAAGAATATCTAAATAAAATGTTTGAAATTTTTCAGAGGGTAACACATGGATAATATTTTTATAACGAGAGCTAGTCATTGCTTAGATCAAGGTCATCTGGAGAGTTCAAGGTCACTTGGAAAGTTCAAGGTCACATATATTCCTTTACAGTCTTTTTCCTAGCTAAACATTGCAAGTTGCTTCACTTAAAAGGTTTAAATTTTCACTTATAGAACTTTAGAATGTGGCTTGACCTAGACTCAAGGTTACGTCTTCTTATCCGTAGCTCCAACGGAAGACCTACTCGTTGCTTTGCAACGAGCTCGGCTCTAGTTCAAGTACTCATTTTAAATACTGACTATTTTTTAAGTGCTCTAAATAACATTTTGCACAATATTTTTTAATCGTCTTTTTCTTTTCTTACGGAAAAGATTCTGCAAGTATAACGCAAATGATATATCCCGTTTTAGCACGTAAGCATGGCCTGAAAAATGTAAAATCGTTGTATATGCAATAAGGCATGTATATTTAATTGTTTTACAATTATATACGAAAAAAGAAACAATGACATTGTTTTTATTATTTATTTTGAATGATTATGCGTGGGTCTTTACCGTAAAGACTACAAGGTTGATAATACAGGATAGTGTTATGCATGAAGTGTGTATGTACGTAAAAACGGGAAAATTATTGATTCGACTTTAGAAGGTAACTTCGGATATCTCGAACTCCCGGATATCTCGAAGTCGTGCAGTGTTCTCCATCATTTGAAATGTTACTGTGTTGCAGAGTGAACGCGAAGCACTAAAATTTCGCGGTATTTTCAAAATCAAATTCGCAACTGAATCATTATTCATTATAATTACAAAAGAATACATGCACACATTCATTTAGAAAACGGTAATACGTTATTCAAAAAGTATGGTCGTACATATTGATAAAAGTAAAACCACGTTTTAGAAAAGCAGAGGAAATTCTGACCCAAACAGTCGAACTACATGTACTTTACATTTTTGAATGTAAATTTGCCATGATTATTTACTAGTATCAGTTTTCTTGATCGAGTTATCGCATTACAAAAAGTAAACTTCAGAACAGTAAAATATATTTAAGAGTTCCTTGAATATGTTGAGAAATTTTACGCAATTTATTAACATTAATTAATTGATTTCGTTACGATGTTATGTTTGACTTACAGTGCTATTATAATTCTAGAGCCGTGGCTCTTTAGAAAAGACATTTATATGTATTAAAAAAATATAATTAATTTTATTGCCACTACCAATTAACTGTTACATGGAAGTGTAAAAAAATATTTATCTTTGTTTCTTCATGCGTGAAGTCCAGCGAGGGCCTACGAGATAATTGATTATGCAAGGTGAAGACCTAGTAATTAAGTGCTCTAATTGTTGGATTAAATTTTAATTTAGAGAAAATATTTATGCATAGGTTTTCTAATTATCACAGATCTTACTGTGTCGGCAAAATTCTTACTGTGTTGCATGCATAAAATTTGAATCGTTACTGTGTCGGAGAAAATTTTACTGTGTCGGGAGCAACACAGTAAAACAGCTCATAGAGAACCCTGTCGTGTCCAGGTCCCCTCAACTTCGAGATACTGATATTTCATTGTAATTACCTCAGTGGTTCCTTTTTCATTTTTACTGGCCATGGATGTGAAGCTTTCAGTTTTTAGACTGAAATGAAATATGCATGGAAATTTTAGCTTCACAATTCACACTGATGGCAAAATCTAGCTATGTTGAAATCATTTAATTAAAATTACCTGGTGAAGGGGATCAGTTTTTCGATCTTCATTAATGGTTGAGGACATGGGTTTGACAAGCTACAAGAAAAATGCAGATAGCATGTGATTCTTTGTAAAATCTCCAGCTACAGCCTGCGATAGTGCAAAAGCTACATACAGTCGGTCTGGTCTTGTACCCGAAAACATGTTTTCAAACGAGACATTAAGGAGACCCTTCGCCAAATTGTACATTTTTACTACGCTCTTTTTGTATGGATATTTTGCTGTTGTGCTTTCAAGCATTTTGGCATGGCTGAGTATTACGGCTGGGTTGATTTTACATTTGCAGACGCGTAGAACCACTTCTTCTAATTGTATTTTGTAATTTTTCCCAGTGGCTGTGGACGAAAGGAGACAAAATTCATCCCGTGTACGGTAAAATTTTAGGGAAATACCGACTTGATTGAGAATATATCGATCCATTTGGAAAAGTTCATGCATAATGGGTCCTTCAAGGTCAATACTTTTGCTCGCCTTTACAAGGAGAGCTCTTCGCAGCAATCCAGAATTTTTACCACTCTTAGCATTGACATCATCAAATTCTCCCGCGACATCATTCATCCACAACTGCGAGGTCAGCTGTGATGACTTGGCATCTGTACCATAGTTAATGAGAGTATTTAACATACTGAGGTAAGGATAATGCGCCCCAGAGCTATTGATGGGCTTGTTCTGCATGGATACATCCACTTGACTGAAGAGTGATGGTAGTAATAAATTTACAGGACCAATGTTGTCATCATCTACAAGGGCTATATCACCGTTCATAACTTTTAACTTGACATAAATTCTACTTCTCTTGAGATCAATGTAATCCATTCCGTTTTGTGCAGAAAGCTGAAATTCGATTGGAGAACTTCCAGAGATTTGAGATATTGGACGTACTTCTTGAAAGTAAATGTTTTCCACTGCAGTCTGAGTTGGTGGTACGTCAAATAGAGAAAGCTGGCTAGGCATGGCTTCTCTAAAAGCTTCCTGTGATAAAATAGACATGATTCAATACAATCCAAAGACGTCTGACTTTAATTTCACGACTTTACTTCGTTTTGTTGTGCGTCCTCCTTTTGACGTGGTTGATTTCTGACTGGGACGTTTAGTGGTTCGCTCGTTCTTTTTTATATTTTCCCTTTTTATTTCACTTTTTGCTTGCTCAACTATCTGCTCAGCTGGTGAGGTCATGTTTATTTTGAGATTTTTATCACCTTCATCCACGTCCTTAGCATATGCATCAATAGATAGCATAAATGGTGACGTTTTATTACGCAGACCTCCACCTCGCTGATAACCTTTCATCGTGTGGTCAGTATAAGGATTCACATTTCCTTTATTTATTTGCATATAAAATCTTGTCCATTTTCTGGTATCAGGTACATACAGCTTTTTATTAAAATCCATGATTAAAACGGATAGCGAATTAAATGAAGTGTCACCCACACGTCGGAATCAATGAATGTTGCAGGTAACCCCTTGTCGTCCTTTAAATACAAATGCAGGTAGGTCAAGTCAGTGATCTTAATAGGAATATAGTAGATTGGATAAAATTTCTCATTCCAACCATAAGACGGATCACTTTGAATAATACGCAATAAAGGTTGATCCCGACCATTGACGCTTGAAAAGTTACAAATGTTTGAAAAGACGAATAATGGTTTTAGATTTAATGTTGTAATGGGTTTTGATGTTTCTTTGTCAATGACTGTCTTTTTCGGTGATGACAGCGTAAAAAATTCAGATATACCAATTTTCCAATATCCATGTAAATCTAGAGTGTTTTCAAGATGAATTCTAAAATCATATGGTTTATTTTCAGGGTAATAGTTTATAGTGTCACTTGACTTGACAAATATATATTTCTCCATTAGTTCACTTTATATTAACAACATCTGATTCTCTAACCCACTGGTTAAACTTTTCAGGCCAAGATTCAAACTTCACTAAGAACTCAGTTTTTCCTTTCTTCGTCCTCTTTTTAATTATTTTCTCCACTATCCACAAAGTTTCCTCGTCTTTCTCTACTATTTGTAATTCGTTTTCGTAAAAGTCACCCTCAATTAATTCCTCATTAAAATCCTTCACCTTATACATAGGTATTCCCTGCAGATGAAATCGTTTAGCAATTTTAAACACCTCTCCTGTAAATTGTTGGTTATATCCTCTTCGAAATATATGTTTTAAATGTGAAAGTCTTACTAAATCGTTGACTTTATATCGGTATTTAATTCTTCTCTGTTTTTTCTTACGCTCGACTTGTTTTTCTTTTCCTCTGGTTTTAATATTTTTTAGATATAAGTTAGCCCAAACATCAGCTTCGTTCTCCTTGGTAACCTCCTTCGGTGCAAGTCCATTAAGACTTCTGTGTGGAGTAGAGTTGTAATTTCGTACAATATCAGTCAAAACATCTACATATCTGTATGTTCTGTTTCTTTGAAAGTAACGATAAAATCTACCCCGTATCGTGCGTATAACTCTCTCAGCAATAGATGCTTTTGAATTTTGATTGGCAAAAATGAGTCGAACTCCTTCACCTTTTAGATAATTCTGTAGTAAATTATTTTTAAATTCTCCACCACGATCGCTTCTTAGTGTTTGACATTTGACACCGGATTCAAATATTAGTTTTATTGCATTTGATACATCTCTTGCTGACTTTTGCTTCAATGCTACAATTCTTAAATATTTCGAGAGTGTGTCTATTAATATTAATAGAAATTTTATACCATCATTCTCTTTTGACAGATTCTGAACGTCCATGAGGTCCATACTCCACTGAACATTAATGCCACTGACACGAATATTTGGTACTTTCTTAGGTCGATGAACTTCTTTCTGCAGAGTATACGCATCCTGCTTTCTGAGCCATTTCGAAATATAATATTTACTGAATTTAAAATTCTTGTTTGATTTCAACACTTGGTACAGTTTTTCTGGTGTAGTAAATGTCGCCGGATTGCTAATGTTGTAATAGTAATTTTCCAAAAATTCACTCTTCTCCTTTTCACTCATGCCTGCCCATACAGTGGCTGGAACGTTATTGTTGACAAACCAATCGTGTAGAATCGTTCGTGTATCGTGAGTGATCGTTCGTTTAACGTGAAAGATCGTTCGTGTATCAGACTCAATCGTGTGCGTTTTTAATCGTGCAAGATCGTGCGTTTAGAATCGTGTAAATTTCGTTTTGTAAGTTTTTATCGGAATGTTATTTCTAAAATAAGCATTTTCCTTGTTTGTTTTTCTTAATATATTAATTAAAATCCAAGTAAAATGAAAAAGCGTAATTTACATAACAGAATGCAGAACGAACTAATTATCGCTCGTAAACAAGCGATATAGTAAGTCGTACAATATTAAGCGTCAAATAGCGCGATCAATATTGTGATAAAACGTACTTAGATCTCAAACACCTTTCTGAAATCCTGATTTAATTATTATTTACTTCTTATTGTGGTCAAGATAATCTTGATATCAATTCATTGAAAATAAATATTTTTTTTTTTACAAAGAAATAAACATTTCTCAATGCTTACATAGTTAGTTAGTCGACAAATATACATACACACGGCATGAATTTCGGGAGATTTGATTATCTGTGTTTATCTCTTGAGCTTATTTGTAACTAATTAATTTTAAATTTCTGCAAATAAAAAAAGTTGAATAATTAGCAAGTTTATCAGACATTGAATAAATAGAAACATAAGGATAATATTTTAATTATAATTTAAGACATTCAATGCTGCCATTTTTGTTGCATCGTATCCCCATTTCCCCTGCATATCATGATATCCAATTCAATCAAATTATATGACCCACATACATGTACATCATCTAATAGAACGAACAAAGTCCGTTTTCTTTGATTGGAGAATTACCTTAGAAATAATTATTTTTAATCTGAAATATTAAGTCTTGCATATATTTAGTTACAGAAATATCAATGTCCTTTTTTTTTAAATTTATGAAATAATATTGATAATTCTTTGAAAGCTTAAATAAGTATTAAGCTTTATTTCGTTTTGAAAATATAAATTCCTAAATATTTTGAACGTTTTGAGTGAAGAAACGTGCGTTTGCGTTAATAATCGTGTAAGATCGTGTAACGTGTAGAATCGTGAACGTGAAAGATCGTTCGTGTAACAGGTTTAATCGTGCGGAATCGTTCGTGTAACGTGATCGTTCGTGTAAGTTGTCAACAATAACGTTCCAGCCACTGTAACTTCTGATTAAGTGTAGCTATGACATTCATATTTCACATGTGTATTCCTTGTGACAAGACCTTTCTTTGGGTACCACAAAATTTGACCTTTTGACCTTGACCTTGGAGATAGACCCACTTTTACATAACAGATCATATCTTTTACTTTGGTCCTAACCTTCGAATGATAGATACTAGGACTTCCATATTTCGAACATGGGTTCCTTGTGGTAAGACCTTTCATTGGATACCAATAACCTTGACCTATTGGCATTGACCTTGGAGATTTCTAAACTTGTGATAAAACTTTAACCTTGGTCATAACTTTTGAATGGTAAAATATAATAAGACTTTCATACTTCACATATTGAATCAATGTGAGAAGTCCTTTCATTGGATACAAAGGAATTTGACCTTTTGACCTTGACCTTGGAGATAGACCCATTTTTACATAAAAATCCTAACTTTTACTTCAGCCCTAACCTTTAAATGGTAGATACTAGGACTTCCATATTTCGAACATGGACTCTTTTTGGCAAGACCTTTCATTGAATACCAATAACCTTGACCTATTGGCCTTGACCTTGGAGATTTCTGTTCTTGTGATAAAACTTTAACCTTGGCCATAACTTTTGAATGGTAAGAGATAAGACTTTTATACTTCACATATTGAATCAATGTCAGAAGACCTTTCATTGGATACAAAGAACTTTGACCTTTTGACCTTGACCTTGGAGATAGACCCACTTTTACATAAACAAGATATGTTTGAAAAACACTGATAACCCCGTATGGCAACATAGCAAATATTAAGCTTTTATTAAATGGAAATTTAATTAATTGGTACCGAAAGTAGGGTATTCTCACTGGAAAACAATTGTGAAATTTGAAAGTAAGCTAATGTAAAAGGTTTTTAATAAGTACACAAATCCCCAAGGTCAAGGTCAAAAGGTCAATGTAATTAGTATCAAATGAAAGGTCTTGCCACATACAATACTTATGTAGAGCATTAAAGCCCTTGCCGTTATGGTTAACGTTCAAGTTCTTAAAAAGTAGGTCAAACTCCAAGGTCAAGGTCAATGGGTCAAAGTTATTGTTATCAAATGAAAGGTCTTGTCATAAGGATCAAATATATAAAGTATGAAAGGAACTAGCTCTAAGTCTTTAAAATTATGGTCAAGTTCGCTTTTTTAAAGTAGGTCAATCTCAAAGGTCAAGGTCAAAGGGTCAAGGATCTTCATATCCAATGAAGGGTCTTTTCACAAAGATTACATATATAAGGTATAAAAGCCCTATCTCTTATTGTTCAAAAGTTATGGCCAATGTTAAAGTTTTTCACAAGTACGAAAATCTACAAGGTCAAGGTCAAGGTCAAAGGGTCAAGATTGTTGGTATCCAATAAGGGTCTTTTAACAAACATTACATTTGTGAAGTATAAAAGTTCTTGTATCTACTGTTCAAAAGATATAGCCAAAGTAAATTTTTTTAATTTTTCTTAAAAAGTAGGTCAAACTCAAAGATCAAGGTCAAAGGGTCAAAGTTATTGTTATCAAATGAAAATTCCTGTCATAAGAATCAAATATGTAAAGTATGAAAGCACTAGCCCTAACTCTTTTAAAATTATTGTAAAGGTTTGCCTTTTTAAAGTAGTTTAAGCTCAAAGGTCAAGGTCAAAGGGTCAAAGATCTTCATATCCAATGAAGGGTCTTTTCACAAAGATTACATATATGAAGTATAAAAGCCCCATCTCTTATTGTTCAAAAGTTATGGCCAATGTTAAAGTTTTTTCCTAAGTATTGAAACCTACAAGGTCAAGGTCAAAGGGTCAAGGTTGTTGGTATCCAGTGAAAGGTTTTTAATCAAACATTACATATGTGAAGTATAAATGTCCTGGTGTTTACTGTTCAAAAGATACGGCCAAAATAAAATTTTAAAATTTTCATGTAAAAGTGGGTCAAACTCCAAGGTCAAAGACAAAAGGTCAAATTTGGTGGTACCCAAAAAAAGGTCTTGTCACAAGGAATACACGTATGAAATATGAAAGTCATAGCTCCACTAAATCAAAAGTTATGGGTAAGGTTAAAGTTTTTGTGGACAAACAGACAAACAGAGAGACAGACAGACAGACAGAAAGACAGACACGACAAAAACTATATACCCCCCGAAACTTCCTTTACGGGGGCATAAAAATCCCAACTTTTACTTTGGCCCTAACCTTTGAATGATAGATACTAGGACTTTCATATTTCAAATATGGATTCTTTGTGGCAGGACCTTTCATTGGATACCAATAACCTTGACCTATTGGCCTTGACCTTGGAGATTTCTGTACTTGTGATAAAACTTTAACCTTGGCCATAACTTTTGAATGGTAAGAGATAAGACTTTCGTACTTCACATATTGAATCAATGTGAGAAGACCTTTCATTGGATACAAAGAAATTTGACCTTTTGACCTTGACCTTGGGGTTTGACCTACTTTAAAAAATGTTTTAAAATATGACATCTCACTCACAAAGACACCGAAAGCGGGGGACCACAATTCTTTGAATTTGCTTGTTGAATATAAAGCCCTCCTCCTCCAATAATTTTTAAAGCAATGCGTTTTAATAATTTTCCACAAATGTATAAACTCTTCGTGATCGCACTCATGGTTTTTCCTGTGTAGAATACTACGAATTTTAAGGTTCATATATGCATATTCAAAATACATAATTAATTTTATATATTTTGATTCCAGACATGAATGTTCCATTTGTGATGGGAGTTTTATTTCGCACCCATTGCATCTTTCTTTACATGTACTTTAGATCATATCCCAAACACTTTCAATACATAAAAGAAAATCAGTTCGTAATACTTGTGTTGAACATTCATCGTCTAACAATAATATTATTCTGAATGTTTTAAAGCAAAACAGACTCATACGACTATATTAATTATGAATATATAAGACTCGTATATGTACAATGTAGAAAATTGAATGACATTTTTTCGTTCTTCAGAATGAATCGTTTTTCTTTAAACAGAATAAAAAAAACCGTGTCATGTATTGTTCTCAAAAAGAAATTTTTAAAAAAGAATCTATG